TGGACCACCCTTTCTGGGATGAATGAGGTTGGTGTTCGTGTCACGGTGCATAAAAGCATGGATCCTGGCCAGCCGAACGGCGTGGTTCTTAGTGCAGCTACAACCATATGGCTCTCAGTATCTCCTCAAACCATCTTTAACTTCTTTAAGAACGACAGAACCAGATCCCAGGTATTAAAATGTGAATCAAAATTTCAGAGTGGTCAAACACTCTATATGGCAAAGAGTTTATTAACTGTGAGCTGAATGGTGGGTGGTGCATGCAGTGGGATGTTCTGTCGGATGGCAACCCGGTCCAGGAGGTTGCTCATATAACCAACGGATCCCATCCAGGGAATGCCATATCTGTTCTCAGAGTGAGGCTTGTGTTGTTTTACTTATTTTTCCATGTCCGAAGCTTTACTTGGAAGGGTTTAGTTATGTTGTTTTTATGTTTGAATAGGCTTTCAATACAAGTCAGAATAACATGTTGATACTCCAAGAGAGTTGCATAGACTCATCAGGGTCACTTGTTGTGTACTGCCCTGTGGATCTACCAGCCATGAATGTTGTAATGAGTGGGGAGGACCCATCAAGTATTCCCTTACTACCTTCAGGATTCACAATTCTACCAGACGGTCGACGGGACCAAGGAGAGGGCACATCGAGCAGCCTCGACGTCCACAGCAGGTCAGGTGGCTCACTGTTGACCGTGGCGTTTCAGATACTCGTAAGCAGCTTGCCATCAGGAAAGCTGAACTTAGAGTCAGTAACAACGGTTAATAACCTTATCAGCACCACCCTCCACCAGATCAAAACAGCCTTAAATTGTCATAGTTCCTGAGGAGAAGAAGAAGAGGAAGAGGAAGAGAGGGTTTATCAACAGTTAAACATGATGTCCCTTTTTGTTTGTTTGTTTGTTTTTTTTTTTTTTTCTTTTTCTTTTGGTTTTTGGAGCTCTGCTACACACAACTGTTTGAGTCTTACATAACATTAATACATTGATGATGAGATGTGGGAGTGTTTGTGGTGTCCAAAATTGAATCTGGGCGTTTGTTGGGAGCTTTGAATGAGCTGAACCATTATTTACTGCTGCTGTTGCTGTTGCTGTTGCTGTTGCTGTTGCTGCCTGCCTCCTGCTCCTGCTGCTGCTGCCAAAGCAAAGCTGCTGCCTTTCCACTCCCATTTTACACCCAATATTGTTGTTGTTGTGGTCATTAATTTGTTTAGCTTAGTGTAGTTCAGTTGTTGTTGGGGGGTTGAGGCTGATATGACATTACTACAACTACCCTCACCATCTCCAGAGTCCACTGAGAGAGTCAAGAACGCACCATATCCGTTCATTCCACCTCTAAACCCGAAGCTCCAAACTTTGTATGGTTCGGGCATTGACTCACTCTCAAACATTTCTTCTGAATGGTTCGTCGTTTTACCGTCTGAATTCTAAACCTTTTTGTGGTTTATGTGTCGAAATCGTACTTATGCCTCATTATTAACTGCTTAATGCTTATTCTCAATAATGTTATCATTAATTTAATGCCTTTTAATTTCCCTCTTACAAAATAGCTCCCCCTCCCCTTACAGTCTGACACATTTCAGGATACACAAAATAAAAAAAAAAATCAATAATTTATTATCCTTTGAGAGTGTGAGCAATAAGTTTCACTCAATAATTCATTTTCATTGCACAAAGAGATGCAAAGTTTTGTTATTACTCACTGCATTATTTCTGTGTTGTTTTACTAATTTAATGCATATTGTTTATTCATTATATTTGAGGATATCTAAAATAATCATAATAAATAAATTACTTAATTGATATTTATTGCAACACAAAGTTAAGGAACCATTGGTAATTATTGAACCACTCTGCTTCATAAGAAGGAAAATTTTATTTATTTCTTATAATTTCTTGGGAGGGAAAGCCCAAAAATAAATTCCTGTATTTTTATATTAAAAAAAAAAAAAAACCCCAAATTTATGTGTGTGTACTGCATACATTATAAGGTGTAAATGAATGTGGAGCAATAATAATAACAACAATATAAATGCAAGTCATTTAATATTTAATTGTAATCAATTTGATCAAATTGGGACATATGATAACTAAAAATATAAAAATATTAACCCTAACTCAACTTTTCACCTAAACCTTCAAATGGTCCAATTATGATTTTATTGTTATGGGTTGGATGGCAAGGTCGGGTGTATATAAGGCTAAAAAATTTATTTATTTTTGGATTTTAGTCTTAGTACAATCTCAAACTAGTGTGATAGGAGGTTCGAAACAAAATTGTCTCAGCTTGTCATCGACACTTCTTACTAATGAAACTCCTTCGAAAAAAAACTAAAAAGTTGGCCCAGCCCATTTTTCTTTTGATTTGGAAGACGAGCATTGCGTTATAAAATTTATCGAGACTTAATTTTTATTAATGAACATATGTATCAAGTGGATCAAATTTGTATATTCTCCATAATAAAATATAAATATATGGATGGTAACTCAGTTTTTTTCAATTGAAAAATGACAAAAAAATCGCCCAAAAATATATATATATGGCGACATATTTTTTGTTTTTGTTGGTATATAATATAGTTTTTTTTTTTTTTTCTTTTTCAAAATGGTTTTCTAGGTACAAATTTGATGAATTTCATAATTTAATTTGGGAAAAATTAAAATTGAGTAAATTACAAATTAATAGACATTTTTAATGAAGAATCATAGATCCTAACTAAGTTTAGGATAGATGACAAGTTTTTGTAGACCGACTTTATGGGTGACCTTATTTTTTTGCACTTCAACTCCCCAATTTAATGACAAAATAATGACATCACAAACTCTTTCCTACAAATTTGCTAAACTCTAGACCCTTTAAATTAATTACCCAATCATGGTTTTGTTTTATATTTATTTAATCACATTAATATCTTCCATTTACGGTTCATCTGTGGTGGATTAATTGATGATCATTGTTATTTAATTTTTGTAGAGTACATCGAAAATTGTTAGTCTTTTACTGGAAATGAACTGTGTGAGATCCCACGTTATTGAAAAGTGGAACAAAACATTCCTTATAAACATGTGGAAACCTCTTCCTAACAGGCGCCTTTTAAAACCGTGAGGTTGACAACGATACGTAGAAGGTAAAAGTGGATAATATCTATTAAAAAAGAAAAAAAAATCCTCATATTTATGACATCATATTTGAGTTAGATAGGAAAACAAATTAATTTTTCCATAAATAAATAAAGGAAGATATATGTGTATTATTATTATTATGAGAAGTTGAGGTAATTAGTAAAAAAAAAAAAAAAAAAAAAAAAAAAAA